TATTTTAAATAATAGGATCAAACAAGGACTAATAATCATGGAAAACTAAGGCCCAAGTTAGCTTTGTATGTGGATATTGGTTACCGAATATTGAGTTCCATACGAAATTCAAGTTGGACCATGCAAATAATTGCGGAGCATATCTGTTGGCTTCTTATCATCTACGTTCTGAGGCATGCAAAATTTTCAAGATTAGATTTGTCTCTTTTCAATTTTCATTGACAATATAATTACTTATTTGCAGGTGTCCACATAATTTTTCTTCATTATTTTGTTATTTTCTATGGCTAAGGTAGTTTTCAATTTTAAGACGATTCTCAATAACAAGTTCGAAGATAAGAGGATTTGTCGTATTATTCTACGTCTTACGTGTCAATTTTACATGTGGTTTGTTAGATTTTAGATAAGTCGGCTAAGCTTATGATCTAATTTATTAAAATTTTAATTTGTTTCGAAGTAGTTTGTAATTGAAAATTTGTATCCAATATATTCTTACGCTAGTTGTGATGGTAAAATTAATGCATAAACTTTTTATGACGGAGGGATCCATAGTCGCTACTATTCGAGTGCGTACTGGGTAAACTCTCGAACTAACGCAATAGTCTGCAAACCATGCTAACCATGTAAACCACACTAGATAAGTTCGGTATGTCAGACTCGATCGAAAAAGTGTTGGTAAGAGAATCGAACTCGTGACCTAAGACCTCCGCGCTCACCTACTCTATCAAGTCAACCAACCCATGAAAGGTTAATTAATTCATAATTAATGCATAAACTTGCATGCAAAGGACATGGTGTACGGGTAACATTATCAATTGTCATTTAACATTATTCCTCCTTCATGATAAAGGCGTATGAGAATTTATAGACAGAAGTAAGCAAAATTATTAATTAAAAAATCTATTTTATAATTTGACTTAGAGGAAAGTTACAATGGAGCGATTTAGGTGGAGAGATAATGTAACATCTGAGGAGGTTCCACGAAAGCCAGACTGCGATACAAAATTATGCATCAATTTATAGTTAGAGACTAGCGTAATGAATTGATTGGAAACCATTTTAAAAGTACAGCGACTAATTAGTAGCAAATTCATAACTAAGGGACCAATAGAAAATTTCAACCCCTCAAGAGATGGTGCAATTTAAGACGGAATTAATGAAAATGGAGTGGAGAATTATTGCTTAAATTAAAAAATGGAAAAGAGAATAAGGTCCCACCGAGATTTGAATTCGGGTTACGGGTTCAGAGTCCAATATCCTCACCACTTCGAGGAAATGCATGAAAATGGTCATTTGACCCCATATTTTTACAATGGTCTTTAACCATTTAAAGAAAAAAAAAGTTAAAAGTTAAAATAGAAATTTATATATTAACAAAGAAATGAGAGGAGAGAAAAGAAGAAAAAAAGGAAAAAATTCCCACAATCTTTACAGTTGGGATCCATTCGAAATTGTCATCCTCACAGTTTATCCAACACCGACTACTACAAAACTCGCTTATTATTTTAAATAAGGTTATTTTTTTATGGGTTTAAGAGATAGTTTTTTCATTTGCATGTTTTGTGAATTTGTGTATTAAATTGTTATTTATAATATTTATTCTTCATTATTTAGGTAGATTACTAGGGTCTCGTTTGATTCCTTTTTTTTGTCACAAAAATGAAAAATATGACCGTTATCCATCCCATCAAACCACCATATTTGACTTTCTATCTCTTGTGTGAAATCCATAACGATTATATTTTTCATTCTCATTCTTATGAAAATGGGAATCAAACGGGGGCTAGGTTTAGAATAAATTTTTGCAAAAACAAGCATTTAAAATTCATCACCGACCGTGCTCACAGTCGGTGAAACCCTTTATTTATCCGTCTGAGCCGACTGTTCGGCTTAGCTCTCATTTGGGTTGAAAAGTTCGCCCCTTTTTCTTCTTCTTTTTTTATTTTTTTCCTCATTTATTTTTTTTTTGTTTTTTTAATTATAAATTTTTTAAATAGTTTTTAAATTTCTTAATTGTTTTGTTCAAATTATAAATAATTTTTTTATTTTAAAATTCTTTTCAATTTTTTTCTCTTTATGATAAAACTTAATTTTTTTCAATTTTAACTAAATAGTATTCATATATTTTTTATTTAATTTTCGTAACTTTCTTTTGTTCAATTTGTTTCGTTTTTATTATAATTTTTTGGAAATAGTTTTAAAATTTCTATTTTTTCCTTGATATTATAAATAATTTTTGTTTAATTTAAAATTTTTTTCTTTTATGATAAAAAGTAATTTTTTCAACTTTAATTAAATAATATTAAATTTTAATTTTAATTAAAAAATTTTTATAATAACTTATTTTAAAATTTTTGTCTATAATTCTTTTCTTGTTCTTCTCTTTAAATTTATTAAATCATTTATTTTTTTATGAGCATTTGTGTAAAATGGATCTATGTTTTGTGTATGGTAGTTACAATTCGGTTCGCTTAATTTTCTAAAATTATATTTTATTTCATTATCTTTTGTTCAATATACTAACATTTGAATTTTTTTTAGGATAGAATATCATTTAGATGTGGAGTTGAAACGGATGGCAGGAAAAGTCACTTGGAACAGTAACTTTAATAGTTTCACTTCCGTACTAGAGTTGCTGGATGATCGACGTGCGAATATTCTAGGCCAATCCTTCCTCTGGCCTGTATCAGTTGATAGGGTGCAATACCGATCATCGATGCACTACTATATAGGTTGCTTAGACCAGTTGACAACGATGCCTTCCACTTCAACCTTGGAAATAAGGTTGCTACTTTCTTCATGTTTGAGTTTGCTCTGATGACTGGACTGAATATTACGAGTGATAAAGCAGCTCGTGATAGTACTCAAAGAAGTAATATGTGCACGATGTATATTTCCAAGGACAGTGGTCGGTGTTTCTACCGTAGCTGATTGGCGCAATCAAGGAGTGCGACCAAATGTTAGACAAACTAAAATTAAGACTGGTCTATATTCTTGAGAGTGTGATGCGATATCATCACAAGAAGACTACGATCAACCTTTTCATTTGAAAGTTG